AACTCCTAAACTCTGTAATCTAGAAAAACTGAAACAGAAACTGTGTGGCTGGGGATTCAGGGCATTGCAGTTGTTGCCTCCGGCTACTGTGAGCTGTGTTTGTGCTAGGGAGCTGAGTTATGGCTCTGCTCCTTTGATCAAAGAGGCACAAGGACAGAGACCCAGCTGTCAAACTCCAAAGTCATTACAGCTGCCTTTCATGCTCCTCCTAGATGTTTCAAAGTTTTATGATGGCAAATTCCAGGCCTTTCACTTCATCACAGAAAGTACCAGGCCAGCACTGGCCTCCCAGACTTACTCTGGGATTTTTCATAAATACTGCATTTCATGTAGAATTCCAAAAGACCCAGGATAACCACGCTGTCACTAAACACACACATGCACACATGCACACACACACAGAGAGAACAATGCGGAATGTGTCTCCACATCTGGTCTCTGGGGCTTTATAGAGCTATAGTAGTACAAACAGCACACACTTCACTGACAACCGGACACTTGGCTAGACCTAAAGTTCCATAAACACGCACTTGTCAAAACTGGACTTGATTTTCACAATCATACAAAAAATAGAATTTTATTTCCAGGACAAGTTTTCTCGGGGTAGCATCAACTACCCTGAAAGAAGCCGACCTTGACCTCAGAGATTCACCTGCCTTTGCCTCTGGGATTAAAGTCATGCATTGCCACTGAACAGCAAAAACTAGCTTTTGAGAAATGACAAAACCTTCAACAAATGGTCTCTGGAAAGTGAATACCACAAGTAGGAAGCAAGTAGATCCCTCTCAGTGTTTCCCTGGGGGACACCAGTTCACACACACCCATCCTTCCCATGAACTCCAAAACTCTATAGGTGGCAGATAAAATAACCCAAAGTGCAGGATCCCTCATGGGCTAGCACTTGCTGAGCAGGGCTTTAGCACTGAAGAAATAGTGCTACCGATGGCAAGAGGGACGTCATGAAGCTGAGAACCTCAGGTCCAGTATAGGAAATGGTCAAATGCCCACACAATGGGAAAACTCTCTGATGACTTTCATCTGGCAGAGGATTAGTGTCTACAACACACCAAGGACTCAGATTTTAAAAAATATTTTGTAAGAAACTCTTTCTCTTTACTAGTTCTAATTTCTATGTGTGTTGGTGTTTTGTGTGAATGCTGGTCTGTAGGTGGACGTCAGAAGTCCTGGACATGGAGTTACAGACAGAAGGAAGCTGCCATGTGTGTTCTAGGAATTGAACCTAGGTCCCCTGTAAAGGCTGCTGGTGCTCTCACCCACTGAGCCATCTCTACAAGCCCCAGAATTCATTTGTTAAAGAAGATAACACAGAACCATTTCAGACTATAAAACGCCCAGCAAAGGGAACAGCTGAAGTCCAGCATCAGCAGGCCAGAGACACTGGACAAGAGAGGTGGGGTCAGCCTCTAAACACACCCAGGAGACTTCTCTCAGGAAGCAAAGTTGAATTCAGGTTATTTTTCTCCTTTTTTAATATTTATTTTATTTATTTATTATGTATACAATATTCTGTCTGTGTGTATGCCTGCAGGCCAGAAGAGGGCGCCAGACCTCTTTACAGATGGATGTGAGCCACCATGTGGTTGCTGGGAATTGAACCCAGGACCTTTGGAAGAGCAGGCGGTGCTCTGAACCACTGAGCCATCTCTCCAGCCCTTTTTCTCTTTTTTTTAATTGTCTCTTGATTGTTCTTTTATCCCCTTTATACCACTCTGGACAATAGTTTCTAACCAAAGAAAGATAACTTCACAACCACAACTCATATTTTCCTAAAACAGTATCCTTAAATTAAAAAAGATTTATTTTATTAATTATGTATACAGATTCTGCCTGCAGGTACCCCTGGAGGCCAGAAGAGGGCACCAGATCTCATTATAGATGTTTGTGAACCACCATGTCCTTGCTGGGAATTGAACTCAAGACCTCTGGAAGAACAGTCAGTGCTCTTAATCTCTGAGCCATCTCTCAGCCCCCTAAAACAGTATTTTTACACAAGAAAAACTCACAGTATGATCATAAGTTATATATTTTTTTCAAGAGCTCAAAAGTGGTTAAACATTTTTCTTAGTATTAATTTGCATTAATTAACACGTGTAATATCAACTTCACCCCAAAGCAATGATTCTTCTATTAACCATTGACAAATTTTAAGCAAGTCAAGCACCTTTCAGCCAGGTCTTTTGACTGGCAGGGAGCTTTCTGTGGCTCCAGTGTAGCAGATTCCTGTCCTATTGCCACTCTACCAAACCGTAAACAAGTGGTCTAGCTAACCATCTAGTTTTCTTTCTTATTTATACACAATTATTTCATTTAAATTTCCTTTGGCAACTTTATTTTCTCAGTGTGCTTATCAGATCCTGTGATTCTTTCTGTAAGCTACATGGCCAAGGAACTCAGACCTAACCTTGAGTGTTGGGGTTTGGAGACATAATTGCTTTCTTTGATTGTCAACCCACTTTGCCACAGAGAGAATTTGTGTCTCTACAATGCCTGAAACTTCTTGTTCTGACTCTCCATCCTCGGAAAAACTCACACATGGAAAAGAGGAGGGTGTCTTCTTTCTGTCTCTTGTATTTTTCCTTGAAGCAACTGGCAGAGCAGCCTAAACCATGGGATATCTCCACGTGGGATGTCTCCATGCCTGAATTCCAACAGAGTTGACACATCTCCCCTCCCCCTTGCCCATTTGCTGTATAACAGCTTCTGAGGAAATAATAAAGGGCGGTTTGATCAGAAATAGTGTCCTGCCATCACTTCTCCTGTCTCTTGCTCTTCCATTGCTCTCCCCTAGGCTTATCAGGGACCATCTTTTCCATCCTGCTGGCCTGGATACCCCCTTCCCTTCTCCCCAGCATTAGTTCTCCTTTGCTCTCTTGATGACCACCACTGCCGCTCTGACTGGGATAACATGGATCTCAGTGGTATTAGCGCCTCTCTCAGCTGGCTAGCAACGGTGAACATAACAGTTGTGCTGCTGCCTCTGCCAATGACATGATCACTTTGCTGGACCTTTTGTTGTTTGGGTCATCCCATGTTCTCTTCCTTGATAAGTGACTTCTGCATCCTGGAGAGCACCAGCTGCCTGTCCAGAGGACCCAGGTTAAATTCCCAGCACACACTTGTCAGCTCACTACTGTGTAAATCCAATTCCAGGGCATCTGACACCCACACACAGACAAGCATTCAGGCAAAACACTAATACACATAGAAATCAAACGTAAGTGAGACAAAGAGTTTCTTTAAAAAGATTTTTTAAAGGCTGAGTGCTTTGTGGATTGTAGACACTAATACAATACCAGATGAAAAGTTATCAAAGAGTTTCTTCTGTTCGGTGGACATTAGACCACTGCCTTTGCTGGACCTGAGAATTTCAGTTTCATGATGTCCCTCTTGCAGTTGGTAGCACTATGTCTTAGTGCTGAAGTCCTGCTCAGCAAGTGCTTGCCCATGAGGGATCCTGCGAGTTTGGGGTACTTTTTCATCTGCCACCTTTAGAGTTTTGACTTCCATAGGAAGAATTGATCTGTGTTGAATGGTGCCCCTATAGGGTCATACAGAGTGAGAGCTAGGTGCATTCTGCTTGTGGCTATTCAATTGTTAAGAACCATTTGTTGAATATCATTGTGTCATTTCCCAAAAGTTTATTTTTCATTTTTTAATATTTTATTGATTTTTATTGATTTCTATATTTTTCTCTGCGCCCCTCCCTACCTCTTCTCCTCTGCTTCACACCTCTGGCAAGGTCCCCATGCTCCCAACTTACCCAGGTGATCTTGTCTTTTTCTACTTGCCATGTAGATTATAGTTATGTAAGCCTCTCAGAGTGCCCTCATTGTTGTCTAGATTCCCTAGGGTTGTGATTTGTGGGCTGGTTTCCTTTGCTTTATGTTTTACAACCACTTATGAGTGAGTACATGTGATGATTATCTTTCTAGGTCTGGGTTACCTCATTCAAAATGATGTTTTCTAGCTCTATCCATTGCCTGCCAAATTCACCTTAACCATGATGTCTTCAGGTGGATCTCTGTGAGTTCGAGACCAGCCTGGTCTACAGAGCTAGTTCCAGGACAGGCTCCAAAGCCACAGAGAAACCCTGTCTCGAAAACAAACAAACAAACAAAAAAAAAACAAAAAAAAAAAAACCATGACGTCTTGATATATGGTATCTGACGCAGACGGGTCCCCCGTTCCTGGGCTCCAACCTCGCCTCCATCATAGGCTCCACAATCATCTCTGCCCTCTGCTCTGGACCCATAAACATTGTCAGCTCTGGACCAGAACCCTTTCTGGGTTCGGAACACACACCTGTCCTTGGCTGCACACTCACCCCATTCACCTGTTGCGGTTTTGCGTCAGATCTGGACTCAAACCCTTGGTCGGATCCGGGCACGCCCCCTTAGTAAGCAGCAGATTCCAACAGTTCTATGGAAGCCCTTTCGCCCCTGTCGTCGGATCCGCACTCTCCTCCTTGGTGGTCTGCAAGGGAACCTCTGCTCCATTGTCTCCATCGCTTGGGCAGCACTTGGGCGGGGAGGACAGCAGTGCCTGCACTGGCGCAGGAAGCATATCCTGCTACAGGCTCCTCCAGGCCTGGGTATTTGTAGTCATGAAGGGAGGCGGGGTCAGAAAATGGCGAAATTTCAGAAAAGAAACCGCGGCCTCTAGACGTACAGTATCCGGCGCAGACTCGCCCCCGTCGTCCCGATCGCCGGCTCCGCACCCGTCCCGTCGGTCATCTGCTGCGGACCCGTACCCACCATATGCTCCCACCCTCCACCACACCCCAGACCGGTACTCGGCTGCTCGCTGGCGTCAATCGTCAGCTGCAGACTCGCACCAGTCCACGTCGTCGGTTTGGTCGTGCGGATCAAACCCCGCAGCAGCCTTACATACAGAGTTTGATTCAGGTCTCTAAACGAAAGGACAGTGGCAGAAAATCACGAACGCCCTTTGAAAATCACCGTCGGATTGCAGCTCCGGCGAGCCGACGTCCGATGGGAATTCGGCTCCGCGCACGAATCCGCGCACTCGCGGACAGCGACACAGTGGTCGGGGAACCCCTTAATGCTAGCTCCATGCCCCGGAATCGCCTTGACGCTGAGTTCTGGCAAAACAGCGACGCCAGCGGCCGGCGGTGCAGCCGGCATGCTGAACTGCGTTTGGCGTCAGTAGCGTTTCTGCTTCTGCCTGGGTCTTCTCCTTTGACTCCGGTGAGAGTGAGAAACGGTCGTCCCGCGGTGGACCCGCCGCATCGTCCGGGCGTCCCGACGGGACCCGTCACCGTTGTCCAGCGGTGGACTCGCCGCATGGTCCCACGGTTTCCCACGGTAGACCCGCCGCGTTGTCCCGCGGTGGACATGCCGAGTCGTCCGGCGGTCCGGACGGGACCCATCCACGTCGCCCGGCGGTGCACCCGCCGCACAGTCTCGCGGTGGACCCGCCGCACGGTCTCGCGGTGAACACGCCGCCTCATCCCCCCGGTCCGCAGGGGACCCGTCACCGTGTCCCGCGGTGGACCCGCCACATGGTCCCGCGATGGACCTACCGCATCGTCCGGGCGTCCGGACGGGACCCGTCCGCGTCGTCCTGCGGTGGAACCGCCTCGTCGTCCCAAGGTCCGGATCGGACCCTTTATCGTTTTTCGGCGGTCCTGACGGGACACGCTGAGTTCCGGCGCCACAGCGACGCCAGCGGCCGGCGGTGCAGCCGGCATGCTCAACTGCGTTTGGCGTCAGTAGCGTTTCTGTTTCTGCCTGGGTCTTCTCCTTTGTCTCCGGTGAGAGTGAGAAAAGGTCGTCCCGCGGTGGACCCGCCGCGTCGCCCTTCGGTCCAGATGGGACTCGTTAGCGTCGTTCCGCGGCGATACCGCCGCGTCGTCCCGAATTCCGGACGTGATCGGTCACCGTTGTTCAGCCGTCTAGACTGGACCCGACCGCATCGTCCCGCGGTGGACCCAACGCGTCCTCCCGCGGTCCGGACGGGACCCGTCAACGTCATCCCACGGTGGACTCGCCGCATGGTCCCACGGTTTTCCACGGTAGACCCGCCGCGTTGTCCCGCGGTGGACCTGCCGAGTCGTCTGGCGGTCCGGACGGGAACCATCCGCGTCGTCCCGTGGTGGACCCGCCGCATCGTCCCGCGGTGAATTTACCGCGTCGTCGGGGCGTCCGGACGGGACCCGTCACCGTTGTCCAGCGGTGGACCCGCCGCATGATCCCACGGTTTCCCACGGTAGACCCGCCGAGTTGTCCCGCGGTGGACCTGCCGAGTCGTCCGGCGGTCCGGACGGGACGCATCGGCGTCGTCCCGCGGTGAACCCGCCGCGTCGTCCCGAGGTCCGGAAGGGACCCGTCACCGTTGTCCGCTGGTCCATACCCGAACCGTCCGCGTAGTCCCGCGGTGGACCTGCAGCGTTGTCCCGCGGTGGACCCGCTGCGTCTTCCCGCGTTCCGGACGGGACCAGTCAACATCGTCCCGCGGTGGACCCGCCGCATGGTCACACGGTATCCCACGGTAGACCCGCCGCGTTGTCCGCGGTGGACCTGCCGAGTCGTCCCGAGGTCCGGACCAAACCCTTTAGCGTTTTCCGGCCGTCCGGACGAACACGCTGAGTTCGGGCGCCACAGCGACGCCAGCGGCTGGCGGTTCAGCTGGCATGCTGAGCTGCGTTTGGTGTCAGTAGCGTTTCTGTTTCTGCCTGGGTCTTCTCCTTTGACTCCGGTGAGGAAAAACGGTCGTCCCGCGGTGGACGTGCCGCGGGTCCTTAGGGAAAACTGCACGATAGGGCACAGGGAAGTGGCACTTGGTCCAGTGCCTGCCTCACAGTGACCCTAGCTGCAAAGATTTGACTGGCCTGCAGCTTGGAGGCATAGCTGAGGACTGGCATCAATAGTCTTTCTGCTATTGATTGGCTAGCACTTCCTCATGGCCCCTGTCCCCAGATCCCAGCGGCGCCTACCCACCCCGTTCACCCAAGGGCCTGAGGATTGACCACGTGGTCCCCATACCAGCATGTCCAGGAATCCTAGAAACGTCGACTTCGGGGTGTCGTCAGGTCAGTACCTTTGAAAACCGGCGCGGGTACAACCAAGTAAATTACGTTTATGTATTAAGTAATTAAGAATTGACACGGACCACCGAAAGCACATTGACGTGTTTATTTTTGGAAGAAACCGGCTGCACTGAAGACCGAACCGGCTGCGACGACTGAAGAGGTTTAGGCAAGAATCATCTTGTCACGGAACTCACTTTCAAACGCTGAAAGTCTCCTGGAGCTCTCTAAGGCGCTCTGCTGTGGAACACAGGCAAGCAGCAGCCACACGAAATGCAGAATATTGGGCAAGTAATGCATTCCGGATTCGGACATGACGTCGTCTGCAGACTGGACCTCCGTCCTCGGGTCCGTACTGGAAACCGTCGTCGGTTCCCGACCCGGAGCCGTTGTGGGCTGCACACTCGCACACGTCGTCGGCTCCGGCCACGGCCGCCGCTCGGTCTGCTGCAGACTCTCCGCAGACATGGGATCCGGAATGGTCGGAACGGGAATGATCCCTGTCGTCTCGTCGTAACGGAACCGGTCCCCTTCTCACCGTCGTCGGAACGGGAATGGTCCCCGTCGTCTCGTCGTCGGAAGTAGACAAGTTCCCGTCGTCCAGTGGTCGGGACTGGACCGGTACCGGTAGTCCTGTCGTCGGGACATGTCTCGTCCCCATCGTCCCGTCGTCTGGACGTACTCATCCCAATCGTTCCGTCCTCGGAACGGGACTCGTCCCAGGAGAAGACTCCGGAGTTGGCCCCATCTTCGGCCCTGCACTCGCTCCCGTTGTCCGCTCAGGACCCGCTGCTCTGTCATCCAGACCATTGCTCCAGCAGCACTTGCACCGGGAGGACAGCAGAGCATGCACAGGGGCAAGCAGAACAGCTTTTTACAAGCTGCTCCAGCCAGGGTATTTGTAGTCTTGAAGGAAGGCGGGGTCAGAAAATTGTGAAATTTCAAAAAAAAAAAAAAAAAAACGAAACCTCTAGTCCCGTATCCGGTGCAGCAGACTCGTCGCATCAGCAGGACTGGACTGGACCCGTCGTCCCGCGGTCCGGACAGGACCAATCCCCGTCGTCCCGCGATCCGGACGGGACCCATCCGAGTCGTCCCACGGTCCGGACGGGACCCTCCGCATCGTCCCCGCGGTGGACCCGCCTCGTCCGGACAGGCGAGTCCACCGCGGGATGTCGCTAACGGGTCCCGTCCGGACCGCGGGACGACGAGAAAGGGTCCTGTCCGGACCGAGGACGACTCAGCAGGTCCACCGCGGGACAACGCAGCGGGTCTATCGTGGGACCATGCGGCGGGTCTACGGCGGGACGCCGCGGACTGGTCCCTTTCGGACCGCGGGAAGACGCGGCGGGTCCACCACGGGACGATGCGGCAGGTCCACCGCGAGAGGACGCGGGCGGGTCCCGTCCGGACCACCGGACAACGCTAAACGGCCCGGTCCGGACCTCGGGACGACGCGGCAGGTCCATCGCGGGACCATGCGGCGGGTCCACCGCGGAAAGACGAGGATGGGTTCCGTCCGGACCGCCGGACGACTCGGCAGGTCCACCGCGGGACAACGCGGCGGGTCTACCGTGGGATACCATGGGACCATGCGGCGGGTTCATCGCGGGACAACGGTGACGGGTCCCGTCCGGGCCGCGGGAAGACGCGACGGTTCCACAGCGGGACGACCTTTTCTCACTCTCACCGGAGTCAAAGGAGAAGACCCAGGCAGAAGCAGAAACGCTACTGACGCCAAACGCAGTTGAGCAGGCCGGCTGCACCGCCGGCCGCTGGCGTCGCTGTGGCACCCGAACTCAGCGTGTCCCGTCCTGACCGCCAGAAAAAGCTAAAGGGTCTGGTCCGGACTATGGGACGACGAGGCTGTTCCACCGCGGGACGACGCGGACGGGTCCCGTCCGGACGCCTTAAAGTTGCGGCAGGTCCATCGCGGGACCATGTGGCGGGTCCACTGCGGGACACGGTGACAAGTCCCGTGCGGACCGCGGGATAAGGCGGCGTGTCCACCGCAGGACAACGCGTCGGGTCTACCGTGGGAAACCGTGGGACCATGCGGCAGGTCCACCGCTGGACAACGGTGACGGGTCCCGTGCGGACGCCCGGACGACGCGGCGAGTCCACCGCGGGACGATGCGGCGGGTCCACCGCGGGACGACTGTTTCTCACTCTCACCGGAGCCAAAGGAGAAGACCCAGGCAGAAGCAGAAACGCTACTGACGCCAAACGCAGTTCAGCGTGCCGGCGGCTGGCGTCGCTGTGGCGCCGGAACTCAGCTTCACCGCGATTCCCGGGACACGGAGCTAGCACTAAGGGGTTCCCCGACTACTGTGTCGCTGTCCGCGAGTGCGCGGATTCGTGCGCGGAGCCGAATTCCCATCGGACGTCTGCTCGTCCGAGCTGCAATCCGACGGTGATTTTCAAAAGGCGTCCTTGATTTACTGCCACTGTCCTTTCGTTTAAAGACCGGTATCAAACTCTGTATGTAAGGCTGCTGCGGAATTCGATCCGAACGGCCAATCCGACGACGTGGACCGGTGCGAGTCCGCAGCCGAGGATTTGGGCCAGCGCGCAGCCGAGGACCGGTCAGAGGTGCTGGGGGACGGGGGCGTACGGTGGGTATGGGTCCGCAACAGATGAGCGACCGAGGGGACGAGTGCGGAGCCGGCGACGGGGACGAAGGGGATGAGTCTGTACACCATACCTTAGGTCAAGTGGCTGCGGTTTCTATTCTGAAAAGTCCCAATTTTCTGACCCCGCCTTCCTTCAAGACTATAAATACCCAGGCTTGGAGGAGCCTGTAGCAGGCTCTGCTGCCTGCTACAGTGCGAGCTCTGCTGTCCTCCCGCTGCAAGTGCTGCTCAAGCGATGGAGACGATGACGGAGCACCGGTTCTGGAGCAGACCACCACGGGGGCCAGTGCAGAGCCGACATCGACGCGGGCGAGGCCGAGGCCGAGGCCGGAGCCGACGACGTGGTGTGCGAATCTGCAGCCGCCGCCGCCGACCTGTGCGGGTCCGCCAAAGCCGACGGTGGGGGCGAGGATGGAGCCAACGACGGGGTTCCAGGCTGCAGACGACGCCTAGGCCGACGCCGACGACGACGCCACGCCGACGACGACGCCGACGACGATGCCGACGACGGGTGCATTTCCGGAGAGCGTTCGTTGCCTAATATGCTGCCTGCTGTGCTGTGTAGCTGCTGCACACCGGTGTTCCAGAGCAGGGACCCTTAGAGAGCTCCGCGAGATTTCCAGCATTTCAAAGTGAGCTCTATGCCAAGAAGATCCTTGCCTAAACCTAGCCAGGTTGTCTTCAGTGCAGCCGGTTCCTCTCAAAATAAACACATCAATGTGTTTTCGGTGGTCACTGTCAATTCTTAATTACTTAATACATAAACGTAATTTACTTGGTTGTAACCGCGCCAATTCTCAAAGGTACTGACCACACCCACCCCGAAGCTCATATTTCTAGGATTCCTGGAAAGGCTGGTGTGGGGAAAAGGGTGGTCTCTCCTCAGGTCCACAGGTGAAACAGGTGGGTAGGCACCACCTGGGTCTGGTGTGCTGTGGCGTGTCGTGGGTGGGGGGGGGAGTGATGAGGAAGTGCTAGCCAATAGCAGAAAGGCTGCTGATGCCAGTCCTCAGCTCAAACCCCAAGCTG